TTGGAGTGGCTGTATGTCCTCGAAAGTGGGGGTCATCAGTTAGGATCTGTTGGGTCTCATGTCGGTGTAAAAGGAAATGAGCAGGCTGACAGACTTGCTAAGATGGCGGCCCCCACCGCCTTTCAAAGACCTATTTCCCCCCATTCGCCTGGCAGTTCGGGCTGAGTAGCAACGGAGATGAGAGGTTCTTGCTGCCAGCACAGAGACGGGCGAAATAAGACCATCGGCAGTCCCCTTTGCTGACACCAAGATTCGAATAGGTCATACCCGACTAACCTACATATATCTCATGTCCTGATACTGAACCATTTTGTGAAGACTGCCTGGCCCCCCTGACTGTGCGACGCTTGCTGTTCAAGTGCCTCAGTCTAAGGTAGTTGCGAGAAAGGTCTCTCTCCAGGTGCCAGAGACGGGATGGCACCTTCCACCTTTCTCTGATCCTGGGAGAAACATAGTTAACGTCTGGACATGAGGTTCTGGTTTTTATAAGGGAAGCTGGTCTTCGAACTGAGATCTGATGAGGTTAGTTATTATAGTATTTTGACGAAAGTTTTTAATTTCTTTTATTGTAAACTTTTTTGCTGTTTTTATTCTTGATTTAGATTAAAAAAAAAAGTAAATCGGTACCATATGACACTACTGTTGCGGCAAGCGTGATTATCACTGATAAAAAATCTATCTATCCGTCTTTCTGTTTATCTATATATGCCTATATATCTATATATATGCATGTATGTATACATGAATATGATATATAATATGCACACACACACACACACACACACACACACACACACACACACACACACACACACACACACACAACACACACACACACACACAGACGCGCACACACACACACACACACACACACACACACACACACATATATATATATATATATATATATTATATATATATATATATATATATATATATATATATGGTAATTTTCTATATTACGTCCGCATAACCGATATCGACGATTTTGGTATCGTTGGATTCCTCTTACTTTATACAATGCAAATATGTAGGTTTTATTGCGCGGAAACCCTTGTTAGCGATAAACTTAATAAATGTCCGATAAATGTCGGAGCGGCGGAGGTAATATATAAAATTACCCTAATAATATAACCTCACCATGAAAATAATCATGATTATTCACATGACTTTCCATTGCAGGGGGCTGTGCCCCCTGCGATCCCCCCTGGGGGGCTGCCGCCCCCCAACCCCCGCCGAGGAAACAAAACCTCCACCACGTATTCACGGCAGGATAGTGCGCACACGAACTAGATGCGGAGCTGTTAACCTACAATAACCTAGGATTTTTAAGGTACTAACCTGATTGATTAATGCCGCTAATTAGTAGGGAGGGTGCTCCTTTGCCGCAGAATGTGAAGGAGGTCCAGGCGTGCTGGCTACCCGCACCTGCCGCAGGCTTTCTCCCGACGGAGGAGGCCGTGGGGAAGCACATCTCTAGCATTTTTTCCTGGCTAGTTGCAATTTTGCGCAGAAAAACCGTCTCCGAATGCGAGCACCCTCCACACTCGGCCATCTCGGCGGCTATGACTGACTTCTGAACGCGACGGTTATTTCGGTTAGAAATACAGATGTCATTATTCTAGTGGACGGGAAACTCGACCTTGAGTCCATCGGTGTAACATCGAAAGAGGCGCAAAACGGGCCAACCTGTTCATCCTCATTATACTACAATCGTCTGTATATACAGTGCTGACTATGCCAAGGTTAATATGCTAATTCAGTGGGAATCTTACGAGGTAATTGTAATAATACGCCCGCCGCTCCGATATCGACGACGATTGTGTAACGCTCTAGCCTGCCGGGAATACGTGGTGAAGGTTATGTTTCGTCGGCGAGGGTTGGGGGGCGGCAGCCCCCCTCCCAGGGGGGTTGTAGGGGGCACAGCCCCCTGCAATGGAAAGTTATGTGAATAACCATGGTTATTTTCACTGTGCGTTATATTATTAGTGCTATTTAACCCCGCATTTTCCCTGGAACCTTTCATGCCCTCCCCTGCTATCTGGGCCAAGTTTGTCGCTAATGGGAGGTTTCCGCGGAATAAAAACTATATATTTGCAATGTGGAGAGTGAGAGGAATCCAACGATACCAAAATTGTCGATATCGGTTATGCGGACGTAATATAGAAAATTATCATCTACATATATATATATATATATATATATATATATATATATACACACATTGTATATATATATATATATATATATATATATATATATATGTGTATATACATATGTATATACACATTAAAGAGAGACACAGGCGCTGCATCTGAAACATTTAAGGAGGCTATTACGGCCTTTGTCAACATGGTGTTGCTTGGTGGAATTCTAGACCGCACCTGCTTGTTTCTTTGGAGCTTCTTTAAGCGCTCTTTCTAAGGAACGCTAAGGTCCCCAGACACTCCCTCCTCTGTGGGAGGTAAAGGTCTGCCCACGTCCAAGTACGACCCCAAAGATGGGGTCCAGTTCACCAGAAGGTGCACAAAGAGTCATCCTATTGCTATAGTGGTGATAGAAAAGTCAGGGCTACAAGGGGCGAGTCCAACCGCGAACAGTTGGTCTCACTGGCGTCAATGCATACACTGCGCAAACACAGAAGGATCGCGCAAGCTGGGGTCGCCACAAGTGGAGGAGTCAAATTCTCTCTTTAGCAAGCCTCCACGACAACCCCAGAACCAACATGTCTCCCTAAGGACTGTAGCCTCATCACAAGGAGAGGAGAGCGCCTGCTGGGGGAATAATGGAGCTAGCATGTATGTTGAATGGACGCTGGAGTCCTCGTAGAGCGCAAGGAACCTCAGGTGAAGAGAGAGAGAGAAGGAAAAGTTCCTTATGGTCGAGGTCGTTGGCATGAAAGTGACTTTCTTTGCCAAGGAGGGGAAGTAAAGAGTGAGGGAGATAGGAGAGAGAGAAAAGGAGAGAGAGAGGGAGAAGGGAGAGGTGAGGAGGAAAGATAAGTCCAATATGCGAAGCTGAGGCTAGCCCGGGATATGAGGGGAGCCCGGCCTGAGCCAACTAATGTTGACTCGAACAGCGTGTGTCAGCTAGTGCTGACGCGACTGGGCTTAGTCCTTAACCACCGTGGTACCCTGCCACAGCATTAACCTCCGGGCAACGATTGCAACTTCTCGCGCCTGGGCGGGGCGCGAACCGCCGACCCCTCGGATGAGAGGCCGGCATGTTACCACAGTACTAACCTGGAGGCTTGGAGTCTAAATTCAGTTCAGTTCAATTAGATTTGCAAACTCATGCTTCGCCCGGGCCTTTTCTCTGGAGTGGCCCGGCCTGTGTCAACTATTTCTAGTTAACTCGTGTTTTCTTTGAACTGCATGCTTATTGTGGTGGCTGAATTGCAAACAAGTGATGCAGTTGCCACGGAGTAAGCATATGGCAAACCTTTTTACCAGCCCGACGGCTGTGGTGGGTGGTCCCTGTCTTAGAAATTGTGTGTACACAATTATGCAAGTAATGTAACAGGGTGGCGTTAAACTCGCCGCAGTGTTTGCATAACCTGGCAGTCTCATTGTCAATAATTTGCCAAGCGCATGCATAACCTAATCTTAGTCTGTGTAATATGACTTCGGTACCTCTTTTTGTGTTTGGAGGAAGGGCCAGTGGCTCATAGCCTGAAGCATCTGAGTACCACTTGGCAGCGAACGAATTTGTGATATTTTCTCTATGTGCTCCCCGGAAGACCACACAAGTTGCAGCTTTGGTACTTTGGTTTAGTCCCCTTCGGCTAGGTTTAACGATCATGGAGGATGGGGGCAATCCCTGCCCTTTTCGGCTAGTTTGTCAGCAAGCTCATTCCCTTGAATGCAATTGTGGCTTGGGACCCAGTTAATGATAATTCTCCTACCCTGACTGAGAATTCTTTGGGCTATGGTTAGTACAGTTGTCAGGAGGTAGATGTTGTCTTGGGGCATGCTATGCTGTAAGCTAGTTGCTAAATAGTTGCTCTAGAATCTGTGTGAATGATGTGTCCTGCCCTTAGGGATGCGTGTGTTAGGGCTTCCATGATCGCAACCGTTTCAGCTTGGAGCGATGAGGCATTGTCAGTGACCCTAATGGATGCTGTGGAATCCCTTGTTGCGAAGCCGGCGCCTGCAGTGTGGTTTATGGGATCCACGGACCCGTCCGTGTAGTAAGTTATGCTACCTGGAGGAATTATTTGATCAATGATCCTTTGTGCTTGTGCCTTTAGGCTAGGCATGGAATATTGATTTTCTCATTGTAAGGTTTAGGATTGAAAATTCGATCATTTTGTTTGCCCAAGGCGGGGGTTCTTTGTAGTCAGGGTGAGGGGAGTCCATGCCCTTGGCAGGCAGTGATTCTTTTAGCTGAAAGCGTATCAATACTCTGGCTGTGTGTGTGAGCCAAGAGTTGTCCGTAAACAACTGATAGTCTTGTTGTAGGCGTCTGAGTACTCTTTGCCTTAAGTAAGAGTTTCTGGGTGTCTGCAAGACCTTGGAAAGGAACTGTGCTGCTATTAGATCAATTCGGGTGTCCAGGGATGGTAAATTAGCTTCCATGAGGAGGTTGATGATCTTTGTCCATCTGGGCGCTACCAAAATGATCCTGGCAGCTTCATTTTGTATTGTTTCCAGTATTTCTTTTAAAACTAACTCAACTTCCTAGGCTGGCTGGTCTTGGGACTGCTCCCTCTTCCTCCCGCTGAGACAGCCACCCCCATTGACTAACACCTAGGAAGAGCTGAGCCCCACTTTCAATGATGCTTACCCAGTAGGAGGGTCTGCATCCCCTCTGGTCTCTCTCCAGAGATTCTATGTCCTACACACACACACACACACACACACACACACACACACATATTATATATATATATATATATATATATATATATATATATATATATATATATATAATTTATTTATTTATATGGAATCGCGTATGTATGTGCTAAGTATGCTGTGGTAATAATTAAAGAACAGAAGAAAATACGGATTGTATGTTTATTTTTATGAATCCAATATGATATGAAAGATACAAATACACCTCTCTTTATCTCTCTCTCTCTTAGATTAAAGAAATGCATTTCGTTTCGTTGGCTGTTCCGTCGCGTCCCGTGCCACCCCCTTCACTGCGCGAAACTCCTATTGGCGCTCCGGCAAAGACCTGAGTTCGTCGTATCCTTTCTCCACTGTTTCGTGAATGAATGCTATGTAATCTGGAAAGATAATGGGGATTTGATTTATGACTTTCAGGATGATTGTTTACGTACACGGACGCACATGTGCATACAAACACAAACGCACACAACCAAGTGTATATACTCATGCACACACACACAGACACTTGCACACACGCAAGTACACGTACACACACACAGACATACACACGCATACTTTCAAATACACACACACTTATACATGCACACACATTTACAAACACACACATGCCCATAACCAGACAGACACATGAACACACAGACAAACATAGTCCCCCTTTCCCCTTCACCCCCCCCTCCCCCTTTCCCCTTCCCCCCCATATCCCTTCCCTCTTTCCCCCACATCCCTACCCCCTTTCCTCTATCTTCCCTCCCCCCCCCCCCACATCCCTTCCCCTTTCCCCCACATCCCTACCCCTTTACCCACACCCCTCCCTCCTTCGCCCCCTCACCTCTCCCTCATTCCCTCCTCTTCCCTCACCCCTTTCCCCCATCCCTTCCCCCTTTCCCCACGCATCCCTCCCTCATTCCCCCCTCTTCCCTCATCCCTTCCCCTTTCCCCCCATCCGTCCCTCATCCCTTCCCTTTCCCCCCCCCGCATCCGTCCCTCATCCCTTCCCCTCTTCCCTCCACATTCCTACCCCCTTTCCCCTCACATCCATTCCCCCTTCCCCCCCACATCCCTCCCTCATTCCCCCCCCATTCCTCCCCCTCTTCCCCCCGGCATCCCTTCCCCCTTTCCCCCCCATCCCACCCTCATTCCCCCCTCCCCTCCTCCCTTCCCCCCCCATCCCTCCCCTCTTCCCCCGACATCCCTTCCCCCTTTCCCCCTCACCCCCTCACCCCCCCTATCTCACTCACTCCGCACGTCGGCATAGACCCCGTAGTAGCCCGGCTCAGCGCATCCGAAGCCCCAGCTGACGACGCCCGCGAGGTGGTGGCGCCCGTCGCTCGCCGCCACCGTGAGAGGCCCCCCGCTGTCGCCCTGGGGAAGGAGTCGTCTCTGGATTGTTTGCTTGTTTGTTTGTTTTTGGTTTTCTTGTTTTGTTTGTTTTTTCTTGTTTTCTTGTTTGTTTTTTCCTCGTTTTCTTGTTTTTTATTACTTGTTTTCTTGTTTTTTATTACTTGTTTGTTTGTTTGTTTTTCTTTTTTATTGTTTTTTTTTGTTTATTGTTTTTCTTGTCTGTTTGTTTGTCTTGTTTTTTTCTTGTTTGTATGTTTGTCTGTTTTAACGCGTGTTCTTTTATTTAGGTTGTGTTTGGTTTGAATGGTTGTGGTGATGATTATGAGGATGGTGATGATGATGAGGATTATGATGATGGTGGTGGTGATCAGTCGTTATTTATTATTACCTTTTACTCATCTTTGTTTATTACTGCTCATTGCTTATTACTCATCATAACTTATTACTTATAATTATTTATTGCTCAAGTATTGATCACTTTATCAATACTTAAAACTCTTTTTTAATGATTACTCATCACAACTTACAATCTATCACTACTTATTACTCATTACTTATTTTTCATCACTAATTATTACTTATCACTACTTAATACTCATAATTTGTCATTATTTATCATCACACAATACTCATCATTACTTATTACTGATAATTACTTTATCACATAATACTCATCATTACTAATGACACTCTTACTTCTTACTGATGATTCCTTTATAAGTACTCAATACTCACTATCACCTCTTACTCATGGCCTAGCACTCATCCTCACTTCTCACGCCCACGACGCCCCTGGACGAGCCCCGCGGCGCCCTCAGCTCACCTGCACGAGTCCTTCCCGCCCTCAGCTCACCTGGCACGAGTCCTTCCCGCCCTCAGCTCACCTGGCCGAGTCCTTCCCGCCCTCAGCTCACCTGGCACGAGTCCTTCCCGCCCTCAGCTCACCTGGCACGAGTCCTTCCCGCCCTCAGCTCACCTGGCACGAGTCCTTCCCGCCCTCAGCGAGTCCGGCGCAGATCATGTTGTCGGTGATGGCTGAGCTCCCGTAGGCCCCTTCACACTCCGCGCGGCTCCGGATCGGCACCGTCACCTCCATGGGACGGACAGGTTGGTAGCCGCCCGTGGAGAGCGTCCCCCAGCCGGTGACAACGGCCTCCGCGCCCGTGTAGTCGGCTGTGGGCGGCGGGAGACAGACGGGCGCGATGCCTGTCAAGCTCAGGTCGACGGGCGTGGCGATCCTGACGAGGGCGATGTCGTTGTCGAACTGCCGGGGAGAGAGAAGGGAAAGGGGGAGTGGCGAGTG